AAGAAATAAAAGGCATCCAAATTGGAAAAGAGGAAGTCATATAATCTCTGTTTGCAGATGACATGATCTTACACCTAGAAAACCCCAAACTCAGAAAGACTCTTAGATTTGATAAACTGTTTCAGTAATTTTTTTTACAAACAAAAGCATTTGTTTACAAACAAAAGCAATGTATAAAAATCAATAGTATTTCTCTATATTAGCAAAGATCAAGCCGAAAAGCAAATTAAAAAAAAACTCAATCCCATTTAAAATGCTACCAAAAAAATAAAAAAAACCCAAACCCTAGGAAAGAAGTTGTAAATCACACAAACAAATGGAAAATCATCCCATGCTCATCGATTGAAAGAATCTACATCATTACAATGACCATACTGCACAAAGCTATCTACAGATTCAATACTATTTCATAAAAATTCTAGAAGAATATCTAGGAAATACTCTTATAGGCATTGGTCTAGGCAAAGAATTTATGACTAAGATCTCAATAACAAATGTAAATAAAACTAAAAATAGACAAATGGCAATTAATTAAACTAAAATGTTTCTGCACAGCAAAACAAATAACCAACAAATTAAACTGACAGCCTACAGAATGGGAGAAAATATGTGCAAACTGTGCATCTGGGAAAGGACTAATTTCCAGAATCTATAGTTTCTACAGAATCTAACTCAATGAGAAAAAAAACATATAATTCGATGAAGAAGTGAACAAAGGACAGGAACATATATTTTTCAAAAGAAGACATACAAGTGGCCAAAAACTGAACAAAATATTCAACTCATTAAAGACATGCAAATTATTACCACAATAAGATACCATCTTACACCAGTCACAATAACTATTACTAAAAAGTTAAAAAAAAAAAAAAAAAAACAGATGGTGAGAAAGAAAAAAGATGTAAGAATAGCGATCCCTGCTCATTTTCGGTAATCGTTTGCATGGGATTTTATTCCCCATCCCTTTACTTTAACGTAAGTTCTCATGTGTTTGGTGAGTCTCTTGAGGACAGTAGATGCTTGGTTGGTGCATTTTTTTTTTTATCAATTTTGGCATTTTGTATTTTTTAAGTGGAGCATTTAGGCCATTTACATTCAATGTTAGTATTGAGATATGATGTACTATTCTATTCATCAGGCTAGCTGTTGCCTGAATACCTTTGTTGGTGTTGTTTTTTCACTGTGCTATTGTTTTATAGTTCCTGTGAGGTTTATGCTTTAAGGAGGTTCTATTTTATTTTGAGGATTTGTTTCAAGATTTAGAGCTCTTTTCAGCAGTTATTGCAGTGCTGACATGGTAGTGGTAAACTCTCTCAGCATTCTTCTGGAAAAGACTATCTTTCCTTCATTTATGAAGCTAAGTTTCATTGAATACAAAATTCTCCACTGATAATTTTTTTTTTCTGGAAGCTACAGATAGGACCCCAATCCCTTCTAACTTGCAGGGTTTCTGCTAAGAAATCTGCTGTTAATTTAATATGTTTTCTTTATAGGCTACCTGATGCTTTTGCCTGACAGCTCTTAAGATTTTTTCCTTCTTCTTGAGTCAAGTTTATCTGATGACTTATGTACCTACGCAATGATATTTTTGTGATGAATTTCCTGGTTGTTTTTTTTAGCTTTTTGTATTTGGATATCTAGATCTTTAGCAAGGCTGGGAAATTTTTCCTCAATTCTTTCCTCAAATATGTTTTCCAGACTTTTTGATTTTTCTTCGTCCCCAGGAACACAAGTAATTTTTAGGTTTGGTCATGTATCATAATCCAAAACTTCTTGGAGGCTTTGTTCACATTTTCTTAATATTTTTTGTCTTTGTTAGTTTGGATCAATTCAAAAGCCTTGTCTTTGAGCTTTTAAGTTATTTTTCTAGTTGTTCATTCCATTGCATTTTGTGTTTCTCTAAATGTGTCCTTTATTTCCAGAAGTTGTAATTTTTTAAAATTTATGCTATTCCTCTGGAGTTCTTTTGTCCATATTCTATATCATTTTCTTTTAATTTATTTAAATTGGTATTCACCTCTCTCTAGTGCTTCCTTGAATAGCTTAATAATCAACCTTCTGAATTATTTTTCTGGCAATTCAGAGATTTCTTCTTGGCTTGCATCCATTGCTGGTGAACTAGTGTGGTATTTTGGGTGTATTAAAAAACTTTGTTTTGCCATATTACCAGAAATGTTTGTCTGATTCCTTCTCATTTCAGTAGACTGTGGCAGAAAGAAGATCTGGGGCTCAGGGACTGTTGTCCAGATTTTTTATTCATTAGGGTGGTCCCTTGATGTGGTGCTCCCTCTTCCTCTAAGGATGGGTCTTCCTGATAGCCAAACTCAGCAATTGTTATTTCTCTTCTGGGTCTGGCCACCCAGTGGAGCTACCAGTCTCGGGGCTGGTATTGTACAGTGCCTGCAAAGAATCCTGTTATGTGATCTGTCTTCAGGGATCTCAGCTGTGGATACCAGCACCTGCTCTGCTGGAGGTAGCAAGGGAGTAAAGTGGACTTTGTGAGTACCTTGGTTGTAGTTTTGTTTATTGTGATCCCTGTCTTCAGGGATCTCAGCTGTGGATACCAGCACCTGCTCTGCTGGAGGTAGCAAGGGATTAAAGTGGACTTTGTGAGGACCTTGGTTGTAGTTTTGTTTATTGTGCCAGTTTTGTGTTGGTTGGCCTCCAGCCAGGAGATCACACTTCATGAGGAGGTGACAGCATCCACTGTAGTTATATAGGAAGGATACAAGCTTGCCCTAGGGTTACCTGTGTAAGTATTTCAGGAAGTGGATGGACACATAGAGCTCCCAAGAGATTATATTGTCTTCATGTACAAGGGTAGGTAGAGAAAGACCATCAGTGTGGGGCAGGGTTAGGCATGCCTGAGCTCAGACTCTCCTTGGCTGGGGCTTGCTGAAGCTGCCATGGGGGATGAGGGTGTGGTTCTCAGGCCAGTGAATTTACATTCCCAGGGGGATTATGGCTGCCTCTGCTCTGTCATACAAGATGCCAGGAAAGTGGGGGAAAGCTGGCAGTTAAGGGCCTCACCCAGCTCCCACACGGCCCAAAATGCCAGCCTCACTCCCACTGTCCTCGCCAACAGCACTGGGTTTATTTCCAGGCAGCTGGTGAGCATAGCCCTATGGCTAGGAGCCCCCCCCGCTGAGAAAGCAAGCAAGGCTTTTAGCTTTCGTGTCTCCTCTCTGGTCACTGTTTCTGTGCTCATATCTGCACTCCCCATTCACACCCTTCCTCGGATTCTGTTCAGAAAACTTCATGTTCAGTCAAAATTGTCACAAATTTCAGCTATCCTCCCTGTGGTCTTTTCCCAATTCCACTGGTAGCTGTCCCCAAAAACTTCTATGAGACAAAGTCAGAAATGGCTTTCCTGGGGACCAAATGTACCCACAGGGCTCTTCCTGCTGCTTTCTCTACCCCTATAGTTTTCTCAGCTCTCTATATTTGTCTCAGCTTCAGGTAAGGTCAAATCCTTCTCCCATGATCTGGACCTTCAGGTTACCTAGTGAGGATATGTGTTGGGGGCTGAAGTTTCTCCTATTCACACTTTGGGCATTCACCGTGTTTTCAGCTGTCTCTTAGAGCCTCAGCAGCAAACCACTTCCTTCAAAGGGTCTATGGATTTTCTTAGATTTCCTGGTATGTTCCTGCTATAGTTATTGGAGCAAAAGTGTGAGTCTCCACATGCTGCTCTGTCCATCCAAGTGGGAACTGTAAGTAGGTCCTGCCTCCTCCTCAGTCTAGTTTTAATTTGTATTACTCTGATGATAAATGATTTTGAGTACCTTTTCATATAGCATCATGCCATTTTTATGTCTTTTTAAAATAATATTTATATATTTCACACATTTTTAAATTGTATTAATAGATTATTTTCCTATGGAGTTGTTTAAGCTTCTTATATATGCTTATAAATTATATATTCTTACATATTCTGGTTATATATTCCTTGTCAGATGGATAGTTTGCAAATATTTTCTTCCATTTTGTGTGTTTTCCATTCACTTCTTGTTTACTTTGCTGTACAGAAACTTTTTAACTTTCTGTGCTCCCGTTTGTCCACTTTTGCTTTGGTTGTCTGTACTTATGGGGTTTTATCCAAGAAATCTTTGTCCAGACCAATGTTGTGGAGGTTTTCCTTAAGGTTTTCTTTTAGTAGTTTCATAGTTAGAAGTATCATAGGTTTAAGCTTTCATCCATTTTGAGTTGACTTCTGTATGTGGCAGGAGATAGGGGTCGAGTTCTCTTCTTCTGCGTATGGATATCCAGTTTTCCCAGCACCTTATATTGCACAGAATATCCTTTTCCCAATGTATGTTTTTGGCACCTTTTTCAAATATTAGTTCACTGCAGATCTGTAAACCCATATGTGTGTTCTCTTCTTTCCCATCAGTCTATGTGTCTGTTTTTATGGCAGCACCGGGCTGTTGTTACTATAGCTCTACAGTAATATTTGGTGTCAGGAAATGTAATTACTCCAGTTTGTTTTGTTTTCTCAAGATGATTTTGCCTATTAGGGTTTGCGTGTGTGTGTGTGTGCGTGGTTTTATATAAATTTTAGAAACATTCATTGAGACCCTATACTGAGACAGTATGGAGGTGAAACATGGGGTTGGAGCCTCCATGCAGAGTACTGGGTCCTGCCTAGTAGAGCTATGAGAAGAAGACCACTGCCCTCTGGACTCCAGAGTGGAAGATCAGTTGGCAGCTTGCAACCTGAGTTTGAAAAACCTGGATGCATCCAACTACAACCTGTGAGAGCAGCTGCAGGGACTGAACACTGCAAAGACATGAGGGCAGAGATGCCCAAGGCCTTGGGAGTCTACTCCTTACGGCAATGTGCCATAGATGTGAGTCAGAGATTATTTTGGAATTTTAATATTTAATGACTTCCCTGCTGGATTTTAAACATGTGTGAGGCCTGTAGCCCCTTTCTTTGGGCTGATTTCTCCCTTTTTGAAGGGTAATGGTTACCCAATGCCTACAACCTGTTGTATCTTGAAATAAACTGATGTCTTTGATTTTACAGGATCATAGTTGGAAGGAACTTGCCTTGTGTCAGATGAGACTTTGGACTTTGAACTGCTGAGTTAATGCTGAATGAGTTAAGACTTTAAGGGACTATTGGGAAGACATTACTGCATTTTGCAATGTGAGAAGGACACGAGATTTGAGGGTTTGGAGCAAAATGAAGTCCCACCAAAATCTCATGTTGAAATGTAATCCCCAATGTTGGAGGTAAGGCCTGATGAAAGGTGATTAGATCGTGGGGGTAGATTTCTCATGACTGGGTTAGCATCATCTCCTTGCTATTGCCCTGCAAGAGTGAATGTGTTCTCATGAGATATGGTTATTTGAAATTGTATACCACCTTCTTTTTCTCTCTCTCTCTTGTTCTTGCTGTGGTCATTTAATGTAACTGCTGAATCTTCACCTTCTGTCATGATTGTAAGGGTTCTTGAGGCCTCCCCAGAAGCAGAGCAGATGCCAGCATCATGCTCCCTGTAAAGCCTTCAGAACTGTGAGCCTCTTTTAATAATAGACTACCCAGACTCAGGTATGTCTTAATAGCAATGCAAGAACAGCTTAATGTAACTGCTATGGTCATGCTGGTACCCAAGCTGCTAGACAATACTCTGCTACTCTAATCTCTTTGTTCCTCCAGCAAAAGGAGTGTCTTCCCATGGCTGCCACAGCTGGAAATGTGCTTGGTCACACCTAAAGTCAGCACAGCTCTGGGTCTCATCTCAGGTGTATGGCAAGTACTGCCCGCATGCCATTGCTATTTATTCAATGTCCAGGGGCTCTTTGGACATCAACTAATGAATTCTTCCAGGCCCAAGTCCTTCCCTTCAATGTAGTAGTCTTTCTTCCGGCCCAGGCTCTGTCTAGAAATATCATCCAGGAGCTGAGGCCTGGAAAGGGGGCTGCATGACTCTATTTGGTGCCCTATTCTACTGTGCTGAGCTGCAACCCAAATTGGAAGAAAAAGTCCTCTACATTCCCCCTTTCACTCCTCATGTGGAAGGAAGTGGTCTCTCCTGGAAGTGCATGTTATACTGCCTAGGGCTGGGGGAGGGTGATGAAAGCAGTCTCTTGACGGCCCTGGCCAGTGTCTCACTAGGTCATGTGCACTCCAAGTCCACTGGCCCTGAACCCAAAACAGCATGTGGGCTTGCCCAGAAATTGCAGTCCTTGTGGCTTAGATTCCTTACAGTTTATTTAGGTCCCAGAGTGCTTTAGCATGTAGTGGCAGGACTAGCTGGAACTCAGGTTCCAAACACTGAGATGGGCAATTCTGCTTTGGCTAGGGCTGGTCTAAGTGTTCCCTCCATTGGCACTTTCTGAATTCTGTCCCATGTTGCTTTTCTCTGTGACAGGGCAGCAATGAGTTTTAATGCAAGGTCCCACAATCACTACACTCTCTCTCCCCTATGCACACAGATTCTTTCTATGTGCCATGTGACTAATGCCAGGGGATGAGGAAGATGTGATGTTGGCGATTCAAGATGGTCTTTCCTACTATCTTCAGTGGCTCTTTTTAAATATAATGCTAAAAGCAATCCTGTGGTTACTCACCCTACTGGTTCTCAGGAAAGTGATTTCTTGTGTAGATAGCTGTTCAATGTGGTGTTCCTGGAGGGATAACAATCACTGGAGGGTTCTATTCAGCCATCTTGCTTTGCCTCCTCCAAGATCATAGTTTTTGATCTTTCATGTTTTTCAGATATAAACATTTAATACTACAATTTTTTCTCTGAAGACTGCTTTAGCTGCATCTCACAAATTTTTACAAGTATTTTCATTTTCTTTCAATTCAACATGTTTTTCATTCTTTATGTGATATCTTCTTTGAGCCACAAATTACTTAGAAGTGTATTTTTTACTTTGCAAAACAATTGTGACTTTTTAGCATATTTTCATTATTTTTAACTAATTACGTTTTGGTCAAAGAATATATGCTATGTGATTTTTATCTGCTTTAATTTTGAGTCTTGTTTAATGTCCTAGCATATGGTCTATCTACATAAATGTCCTACCTGCAGTGAAAATAAATACGTATTCTGCTGTTGCTGTGTGATATGTTTCATAAATGCCATTTAGGTCAGGTTGATTGAAAGTGGCATTTGAAGGCTATATATATTGTTGATTTTCTGACTTTTGTTCTATCAATTATTGAAAGAAGAGATAAATGTAATTATAAAGCAATATGAGATAAGATAAAAATAGGCTACAAAGTCAAATTATTATTAAATTTTGTGAGAGAAGCTAGGCAAACACGTCTTCTCTGCGTAGTAGGACTTTCCATGAGCTAAGGCTAACTTGAAACCTCACTGATCACATAATTACGCAGCTGTAAATGATAAGTGTATATTTATAGATATTACCTTTACTTCAAACACTATATATATTATAATTATAAATATACTTACTAGTAGTTTCAAATAAACAAATATATAAATAACGAATTTACACAGTGGTTGCTCTTGTATATCTATATACCATTCTGTATCTATTTTTAGAAAATGCCAAACTTGGGATTCTATATGTATACATATTTAGAGAAAGGAAATCAAAGAAAATGAAATGAAGAGCAAGAGTAAGAAAGAAAGTGAGAGGAATGAGAAAGGGAGAGAGATGTAATCAATGTGTTCTATCACTTATTTGGAAATGCCTTTTGACAACCACGTTTCTGGTGGCCTCAGTCCTCTGGAGAGTAGTTTTCAACTTTGTTACCATTACATCACACATAACAGATGACACTTTATGTGTCACAGGCTCCCATTTGCAATGCTCAGAACACTGAATGCATTTCTAATGCTTTATTTTCTCTCGATGAATCATTGGTATTTCAGATCATTTTCTGCTGAAGTAAAAAATACCAGACTGGGTAATTTATTGACAACAGTTTATTTGATTCATGGTTTTGAAAGCTAGGAAGTCTAAGAGTGTGGTGCTAGCATCTGCCTAGGGTCATCTCATAGCAAAAGGCAGAACTGAAGGCTGAAGGCTGAAGCAAGCACTCAAGACAGAGAGATGATTTTGAGCTAAACTCATTCTTTATCAGGAGCCCACTCCTGCAATAACAAAGCCATTCTCACAATAATAGAAGTAATTCATTAATGAGGGCAAAATCCCCATGACTTAATCACCTCTAAAAAGTCTTACTTTCCAATTCTGTTACACTGGCAATTAAATTTGTATATGAGTTTTGGTTGTAAGCTGGCATTTCTACAGTTCAGGGGTCTTGAGAGTAGCCTCATTCCCACACTTCGTTAGGCATTGCCCTAGCAGGGACTCTCTGTATCAGCTCCAATCCCACATTTCTAATTGGCACTATCCTAGTGGGTGCTCTCTTCAGCAGTTCTACCTCTCTACAACAAATTTCTGCCTTGGCCCCCTGGCTGCCCATGACATCCTGTGAGACCTGGAAGGAGTAATTGTTTCCCCTGCAGCTTTTGCATTCTTTGTGCCTGCAGAATTGGAGCAATGTGGACACTGCCAAGGTTTATTGATGTACCTTCTGGAACAGTAGGTTGAGCTGCACCTGGGGCCAACTGAGTCATGACTGGGTTGCCCTAGGAGCACTGCACCCCAATTTGGGGAGCAGAGATCTGAGGTGGGTCTGGGCAGTGAGCCCATGGAGAATGCCCTGGGCTTATCCCATGAAACCATTCAGCCTCCCTAGAGCTCTGGGTCTATGATGAGAGGGGCAGTCTTGAAGGTCTCTGGAAATTGTGGGATCATTCTCCATTGTCTTGATGATCTCTTCTATCTTTACTAATCTCCTTAGCAAGTAGTTACTTGGCCAAGCCTTTAGAATTCTCTCTCAAACATGCTTTTTTATTCTCTACATGTTTAGGCTGTGAAATTTCTAAATCTTTTACGTTTTCCCTTTAATTTTAAATTCCAATTTGAGGTTATCTTTTTGCTCTCATATCTCAGTGTATATGGTTAAAAGTAATTATGCAGTAGGCTGAATGCTTTGCTGCTTTGATATTTCCTTCACTAGATATCCTAGCCCATTGCTCTTAAATTTCACCTTTCATGAAGTCCTAGGACATGCATAATTCTGCCAATATCTTTTTGCCACTTTATAACAAGAATAGTCTATACTTCAGTTTCAAATAGAACTTTTCTTTTCTTTCTGAGACCTTAGCAGAATGACCTTTATTGTCCATATTTCTACCAATGTTCTAATCACAATCATTTAAGTAATCTCTAAGAAAATTCAAACATTCTTTAGAGGTATCCTTTTCTTCTGAACTCACCAGGCTTGACCTTTATGCTTGGTTCATGACAGTCCAGGTTTTATTAGCTTACTCATCCAAATTCTCCTAGCCTCTACCCATTATTCAGTTTTAAAGCTGCTTTTGCATTATTAGATACTTGTTACAGTAACAATCTCACTTCTTAGTGCCAATTTTCTGTCTTCATCTGTTTTTTGCTGCTATAATGGAATACTACGTCCTGGATAATTTATAAGCCTGAGAAATTTATTTGGTTCATGTTTCTGGAGGGTGGAAAGTCCAACAGTATGGTGCTGGCATCTGGTCAGGGATGTCTTCTGGCAGAAGGTGTAAGGCAGAAGGCAGGAGCGAAAAGTGAAGACAGAAAGAGAAAAGTGGACCAAACTCATCCTTTTAGCAGGAGCGCCCTCCCACAATAAGGAGCCCACTCTCATGCTAATGGTGTTAATCCATTCATGAGGGCAGAGCTCTAAATGACCTAATTACTCTAAAAAGCCCCACCTCCCAATGCAATTTATTTGCAATTAAATTTTAGATGTGTTTCAGAGGAGGAGAGAATTCTAACCATAAAAATTGTCAACTAAATTGATTTTGAATATATTATAGGTACACGTAAATATGTACAACTTAATTTGTTAGTTATACCTCAATAAAAATGGGAAGAAATTAAAAATGGTAATTTCTTAGACTCTATACAATAAATGTTTTTGCTTCATTGAGTGTGATATTATAAAATTTAGCATACTAATTTTTAGTCAATTGTATTTTTAACACTTATTCTCCCAGAAGTAAATACTACTTTACCAGTGCCATATCTCACTCTATAGAAGTCAGGTTGGCTGTAAAGTTTTCTTTCTTTCTTTAATTATTTCTTTAATGCATTTTTAGAAGCAATATTAAACTTTTAATATTTAATTATTAGTACTGCATTGAACAACAACATGATGTAAATAATTAAGACCATAGTTTTCTGATTAGACAGATGTA